CCACCAACCACTGTCACCTACCCCACCCACACCTATCACCACCATTTGTCATTGTCGACCACTGCAGTCACCCCATTGTCATCTACCCCTACCACGCCAACCACCATCGCCATTCATCACCATCATCACACTGTCGCCTAGAAAGACCCATCGTAGCCCACTAACACGACCACCACGTCGTTACCCCACCACCACTACTGTCAACCACTATCATCGTCATCCACCACCACCTACACCCACCACCACCACCGTTGTCACCCACTACTGCCACTATCATCCTTGTCACTCAAAACCTTCCACACCATTGCCACTAACGACTGCTACCACCATCACTATCGTCGCCTTACCCACCACAACCATCATCGTCTCTCATCATCACCACTATCGTCCATCATCGCCCACCCACACTACAATTGGTGTTTAAATTTATTTATCTCTCCTCTAGGTTTGTAATTTAATTTTGGATATGAATACAAATAAGTTTCTCATTCACCACCACCCATCAAACTATCGCCAAGAAGCACTCATCGTCGCCCATCAGCACCATCATCATCGTCCACCACCGCTGTCTTTGTCCCACCACCGCCACTGCCAACCACCATCACCGTCGTCCACCACCACTATTGTCGCCCATAACTGTCTCTATCATTATTGTCACTCAAAATCCATCACCACCATCACCATTGCCACTCGCTGCTACCACCACCACCACGGTCGTCACCTTATCCACCACAACTATCATCGTCTCCCCACCATCACCACTGTCGCCCACCACCGCTACAATAGCTCATCGCCACTACAATCGGTGTTTCAATTTTTTTTATCTCTCCTCTATATTTGTGATTTGATTTTGGGTATGAATACAAATATGTTGACTATTTTTTTTCTATTAAGGCACGGGAAATAACTATATAGAAATAAAATAAGATACATTTTAACACAAATAATTAACTTTCATTCCAATTTTGGAAAGATTGATTTTAGTGAGTTGGAAGGAAATCTCATCCATCCACTTTTTCATCCTTCTTATTTTCCATCCTTACCAAACATGATGTTTTATCTATCTTTCTAACTTTTTAATGTACCAAACGAAGCATTCAGGAATGGAATGAATATTTAATTAGTCATGGATGCACTATGTCATTGGAGGAGATCCATGAAACTTTGCAAGCAAATAATGTGTATTCCAAAGATGACTGCTATATGGAATTGTGTTTAGAGGCTTGTATTGATAAAGGATATTCTTCAGATGGTACTAGTGATTGGCCGTCTCAAGAGAAGCTCAAAGTTTTTATGTCCAAGTCCAAACACCTCTTTGCTAAACTTAATTATGCTGAGCAGATTAAGAAGAAACAGGAAGCTGAATTAGAGAGGCAATCTCAGCAATTGAATGAGGCGTTGATGGAAAGGAACTTCAAAAGGATTACAAGATCCCAAGCTAAAGGTTTCAAAGTTTCTAATCCAAATAAGAAATAACATGGATTTAAATGATATTGAGTGTTTTATTTTAGATCAGTGTATTCACAATTCTGTCATTTTATGTGATGGAAAAGAAATTCTGAAATGCTTGGGATTAATTGATGTTGATAACGTTGGATATAAAGCTATACAGTAAAAGGTCGATGGAATTGGGTGTTGATCAGGGTGAGTTGGAAGCTTCAAAGGACTTGGGTATTCGGCTTGAAGAATTATTCTGGATGTATAGAAGAAATAAGAGAATTATTTTAGGAGGTTTCCTAAATCAAAGAGAATTAGTGGCTATCATAGTTTTGAATTGGTTCATAATCGTAATAGGTGGGGGTGGTAAGGTGTTTACAAAAACTTCTCCAAACTGATTTTATGAGCATCAGGGAGTATTTTAAGGAATATATAATCGGATTCGGGGGAATAAAGAGAAGTGGTTATGCCTTTCGGTCTAAACAAGGAGGAGATCCACTTGGGATGGGATTGTTTATTAGACAATTTCGGCTGAGAGAGAGAGAGTTGTGGGGATTCTGCATGAGTTTCACTTAAAGCCAGCATGAGTTTCGATTACTACAAAAACTGTTTTTTTTAAAACTGTTGTCCAGAAAAACAGAAAACAGTTTTTTTTTTTTTTTCAGAAAACTGTTTTTTTTTTTAAAACCAGAAACAGATCAGACTGTCCCAATAAATTCCAGCATCTGTGTCCCCTGGTAACTTGACATCAACATAACAAGTTAACCAATTTGCTTGTTTGTTCTATAAGCAACCTTTTGGTAAGCCTGTTTGTTAATGGCTGCATCCACAAAATTGATAGCCCTTGGCCTGGGAGCACTCATTATGTGTTCACTCATGGTTGCCTTTGCGGATGCAAAGGTGATTGGCTATGGTGCTATTAATCACAATAACTTTCCATGCGACCAACACGGTCTGAACGGATGTTTAGGTCTACCAGCAAATCGGTATCAGAGAGGTTGCACCTACGTTGAAAAATGCCAACGCAGTCTTGGGTGGATGATCCATAGATAATGAAAGTTGAAAACGATTGATCATTCATGAGGACAAGATTTTGTTAATTCGAATTCAATTCAGATGTACCCACTTACATATTAATTCATGTATAACTTGTGTATGCACAAACATACACATTTATGAGGAACGTACTCGTTTTACATTCCAAATTTTTATATTGCAATCTCAATCAAACAAAAAGGTAGAATTAAATATATTTTAGGAAAATTGAGTGGCAAATTTCTATTAAAAAATTCTTATAATTGGGTATTAAGCAAATTAATAGGTTAATATGACAAATACAACCAAAAAATTTGTCAAAAAAGGTAGTGAATATTTACTATTAGATTACAATGTTACATTTTTCTAATTTTATTTAAATTTTTGATTATTTATTTTTGCGACGATTTAGTACTATAACCTTCCACCATGTTGACAGAAGATCACCAATGAATTGAGTTATCGAGTTAAATCTGAGTATTTACACATAAACAAATCTAATATGTCGAACAGGCCAAGCCTAAACGAACCTAAAAAGAACTTGTTTGCATAAAAGTCATTTGGTTAAAATGTTTTGCGGAAAAATCCTCATTTTTTTTAGTTTCAAAAAATTCATAGAGGTAACTGAACAGACGTTTGTTTTTCTTTGGAAACTGTCAGATTCCATTCACCATCTCCACAAAATCCAATTACTAATCAAGGCCCCAAAACTCAATTTTTTAAAAATTGAACAAAACTTTCTCAAATTCCTTCGGTTTTCAACCATACACAAACCACATTCCTAAAAAAAAAATGAAGAGTTTCTTATTTTAATGGAACAATGAATTTAATTTTAAACAACTTTTTTTTCCCTTTTCTAAAATTTTTCCCACATAGCTATAATGTATCTTCCTTATGTTTGTATATAATTGACCTTTTCTACAATTCTCTTACCCTCTATTAACAGTAAATTTTATCCTAAAATCTCTCAATTAATTAACTAAAATTAGTCACTTTACATTGTTATACTATGATGTAACATTGTTATTTATTAAAAGTATATATGGATGTCACATTATGTGATGCATACTATTTAGATTGAAAGTAATTTCACAACTTTTTGTGAGTGATTAAAGAGCTAATGAAGATATTACATTGTCGCGTATCACTATAATGTTACATCACAAAATGATGATGACCCCAACTTTAAAATAGGCGTTGGTTTTGTTTAGATTTTGCGTTGTTTATGGATGATTTAGATGTTTAAAATTCAAAAAAAAAAAAAAAATATTCTAGGCTAGGAGGTTGCTTATCAATAAAATCAAATCTCCATATAAAAGCAATTATCAAAATACAAAGATCATAAAAATAGAGAAAGGATATTATAGTAAAAAGAAGAATAAAAATACTGTATCTCTCTACAATACATTTCAATCTAGCGTTACTTATCTATAACATATTTTTTTCAAGGTCTTCTTTCATAAAAAAGTCCTCCGCTAGGTACCTACACACAATTTTACAAAAAAAAAAAAGGGCAAACCCACGGCTTGATTATTAGTTCGGCCTTGACCTTCTTAGATGAGCTGTAATTGGCTCTTTTTATTCTGTTAATATTAGTTAATTAAATATAACATTCATATTAGATTTATCACATTACAGTTGGGGGATTCAATAATGAATTTGAATTCTTTGGGTTTAGTTTGGGTATGGATCACGATCCTTGGGTTTGGGTATGAGTTTTCAACATTTATTTAAATATTTATTAATAATTAAACAAAGTTAAAAATAATTTTTTTTAAAAGCAGATACTTTGAGAGACTAGGGTTTGAGTAAATACAACATCATAATAATATCACTTAGTAACCACTATCTAATATAAAGTATTAAGCATGCACAATGAAACTCACCAAATTTTAATAATTATCACATTTTTTGAAATCAAATAATTACCACACGTACGTGTGCGAGGTTCACCAACTAATGTGATGTTTTATTATTTGATTAGTAATAATCTCGTTTCCAAAGACAATTTATAATACTAAAAATTAAATATTGATCGTACAATTTTTTTATATTTTAAATAATAATTTATTTATTAATTTTTTAATTATACAATTTAAAATTAAAATGAAATAAAGAAAAAATAAGAATGAAGTATATGTGTATTAATGGAGTTGTTTAATATTTAAAAGTGTATTGATTGAGTTATATGACATTGAGAGTCATATAGAGAATTTGTTATAACTGAGAGGTCTGTGTGTTTTAATGACAAAATTCAGGTGCTGGATGTAATTTACACCCCCCCCCCCCCCCCCCCCCCTCCCCTCCCTCCCTCCCTCCCTCCCTCCCTCCCTCCCCTCTCCAACAAAAAAAAGTATTAGAAACAATGAGTGGTGTCAGTGTAATTTATCCAAACAGAAAATAAGAAACCCTTGCCCTCGCGCCCCGCACGAGTTCGATCTTAGTCCCCGAAAACCCCCACTTCCACTGCTAAGTTTTCGGTACTTGTCCTTGTGTTGCCCGAAAAACCCCACTTATCATATATCTCCCTCCCCAATATTCTTCTGGATTCAGCTATAATCCCTGAATCGCTTTTTCAAGCTTGTACCCCATCGAAGTTGGCCCCATTGCTCGTGTAAGACCCTGTGCTTGTAATTTAAAATTAGACAAGATATTGTTCTCTGATAGTTCAGTTTATTATCTGCATGACAATACCTACAATAAAAATAAATAGCTATGTGTTTGCAATTAATAATCAACTCAATTCTTTTTGAAGTAAAAAGAAACTGGCTTTAGGGAGGCTTTATTATATGTGTCAATATAAGGGATATCTGCAAAGCCCCCCCTCTCTTCTCCTTTCTTTCTTTTTCGAGGGTTTATGAACCTCTTTATTATTTGATCTCCATGGAAGCTGTAAATAGAAATGGTAAAAAGATTGGTGTTCAATAGTTTGCTTAAATGATGTTCCAAGTTTCAATAGGTCTGCTATATGTGATATTCAAAAGTGAGTTCTTTGCACTATATATCTAAAAGCTAATGACATTGCAGGGACCTAATACGCAACAAAAGCCTCCAAGAAGAACAGATAACTGCTGCTGAAAAGGTTATTGGATTACTATGTCCGAAAAGAATTTGTCACCACTCAATACGGCAGCCTTTTACTTCAGTTTACCCTGATTACACACCGAGCATGATTGCAGCATCCATTGTCTTATACTCTGTAAGGACATAATGATGACTGACCTATTATCATTATTTCGTCTCAAGACAACTTATTCGGGTTCCACTTTTGTAACAAAGTGTATTGCAAAATTGCTGTGGGAGTTAAATTCTGCTTTCTCGTTATTTTTTCTTTCTATTCTCTCCCTGTTCATCATGTCCAAATATTTGTATAGAAAAATTCCCTTACTGAAGTTTGGTGCAGGACTTTCTTTCATTGATTAATCATAATTTTCACTGTTTAGATTGTTCAGATGAGCTTCTGTGAACTACGTTCAAGACGACAGACGAAACCATGAAGAAAATCTTTGGGTCTGATGGGTTTAGGTAAAAAGGCTGACCCAGTCCATCAGGTTTCCTCCACTGTCGGGTGCAGGGAGGGTGAGATCTATGCATCCTTATCCCATATCTGGTGGGTTCAAGTATGGTGTTGATATCTAATCTGCAAATTAGGTGCAAATTAGGTGGTCCTTGAGTTGATTGTATGCGTCGAGCATGAGCGACATGAAGGCGAAGATGCTTAAGAAATTGTACGTGCTTTAAACCCCAGTGCATTGAGACCAGCCCATGTCAAATGTACTCACCCCAAAAGCTCTCAACAATAAATGTGTTATAATTTTTCTTGATGCTGAAAGTAGGTTGGAGCTTGTGGAGGCACAATGAATAGTTACTGCTTGCGTACCTTGTTCACGATGGAAAGTTACTGCCAACTTCGTAAAAATGTTCCTCCTATTCTTCAATTGAATCTCATGATCAATTGAATTTTTTTTTCTGCTAATTAAAAATGTTATAAAGGGTGACTAAATATGGAATTTCTTAGACTACGTAACCATAGCAGTTTTTACCTGCGAGGGAAACCCTCCAGAGAGGTCTGGAGCGATAGAACTTGTAAGCGCTTCCTAAAGACGACTTGAGCCATAGTCGGACTTCAGCCCCACCAATTCG